ATAATGTTATAATAAACTATTATACTATAAAATTATTTAATAATAATCATATATTATTATTTCTACTATCATTATTATTGTTGTTGTTATAAATTTTATATATTTATTGAATATCTTTCTGCATTTTGTCATATTACAAAAATAAAATGGAATTTGTATGACACTTTTTGTTGACTTATCAGACCCACAGAATTCCTCTTACTTCCAAGCACTGGTGTGAGAGAGTCATCAGCAGTAGTAAACTCTTTATGTTTTATTCACGTGTGAATGGGGAGAGTGGTTTAAATATGCTGATAAATCAATGCTGGACTGTGCTTTGGATGGGTTTTGGATGGGTAACATCCTTCTGTTTTAGTCACCATGACGACAAGCCAACATACACGAAACTCACTCCAGCGAAACACTCAGTAATGCAATATTTCTCAGAAGTATAGAAAAACACTAGTTATAAATGTAAACCCTGCCCTGCCTGACCCTAATTTATAGCAAGTGGGCGTGGTCTGATGACAGGTGGGCGGAGCTGTAATGACAGAGGCAGGGCAGCCGTTAATCACTGTATAAGGTGAATGTAAGGTGAAGCTCATTGTGTATTCTTTATGTATTTCTCTCCATGTTTTATAGGGTTTCCCAGGAGACATTGGTGCACCAGGACCCAACGGCCCCCCTGGACCAAAGGTACGCATGTTCTCTAATTAAAATCATAACTGTCTAGACAGCAGCCTACCTAGACAACCTCATATTTGTTCCAAAAGGTGGGCATCAATCTTATGCTGCCTTCTGAGGTTTTAAGTTTAGTTTCTCTCATGATGCTGCCTCAATAGTAGACAGCGAGGCCCCTCACTAGAGCTCATTATTTACTCTCACCCAATATGTATCTTAGTTTTGAATGAAAAAAACATGTTTTTTCCCAGTTTTCCTCACTGCACAGAATCTGTGTGTGTGTGTGTGTGTCTGTGTGTGTGTGTTTAGGGTATTCAAGGAGCCCGGGGCCCCCAGGGACCACCAGGGCCAAAAGGAACAGAGGTAAAGAGTTCATCTCCAATCTCACACACCAGACAGACAGAACTATATATCTACTGTCTGTCTGTCTGTCTGTCTGTCTGTCTGTCTGTCTGTCCATCTGTTTTTCTATCTATCTATCTGTCTGTCTTTCCGTCTGTCCGTCTGTCTGTCTTTCCGTCTGTCTTTCTTTCTGTCTGTCTGTCTGTCTGTCTGTCTTTCTGTCTATCTGTCTGTCTGTCTTTCTGTCTATCTGTCTGTCTTTCTGTCTATCCTTCTGTCTGTCTGTCTGTCTGTCTTTCTGTCTATCTGTCTGTCTGTCTATCTGTCTATCTGTCTATCTGTCTATCTGTCTATCTGTCTATCTGTCTGTCTGTCTATCTGTCTGTCTGTCTTTCTGTCTATCTGTCTGTCTGTCTATCCTTCTGTCTGTCTGTCTGTCTGTCTTTCTGTCTATCAATCTATCTCTCTGTCAGAGTGTGTATATTGCTATAAAGTGAATGAAATCTCCTCTGCAGTAGAATAGAGCTGCAGTAGAGTCAGTTCAGTGATGTTCTTCTGCTCTTCTTTCATCGCCTCATTTCTTGTCGAGCTTGTTGTGTGATGTGTACAGTGAAGGAATGTTATCTTGTCTACGGGCAATGTTCTGTGGGATCTGTTCACTGAATGTTTACTAAACCGCTTCCTTGTGTGTTTCTCCAGGGAGACGAAGGCCCCCCGGGTCCACCTGGAATGCCTGGTCCCACTGTAAGTGTCGTTCTTTTTCAAGATTCATGTCTGTTTGTTGCTATTTGTTGTGAATGTATACAGGCAGAAGCATTTACAATTACACCTGTGTGTGTGTGTGTGTGTGTGTGTGTGTGTGTGTTTTCATCCACTACAGGGACGAATAGGACGGAAGGGTTTCATCGGTGAACCAGGACCTGAAGGACTGAAGGTAAGTGTCTCCTCACCAGCAGAAATTATCCCACGTGTATGTCATCCAATATGCAAAAAAACCCAACTGCAGTCTTATATTCAGTGTTTCCAAAAGTTTCTGTGTGATTGTTCACATCACTCTCTGATTGGCCAGTATATCAACCATCCGTACAAATGTGAGATTTATCACAGATGATAAATTCATATTAGAGTTTAGGTTTACAGTCATAGATTCTTGATGATGCAAGTGTTTCATATTGTTGAGCTGGTTTTGATGTTCATTTATTTCTTTTTTTTGACGGACGGATGGTCCGTATCCATCCATCCATCCGTGTTTTTGTAAAAAAAAATTGTTACGCTGATTGAACTCTTAGTTACGATGTTTTTTGTCAAATTACTGGCAGTTTTCCGTTTCACAGTTGTGAAGTTTCATTGAGCAAACGTGTTTGTTTTCCCGTTGTGTGTTTGTTTATGCTCTTGTAAAATCAGAGACGTATTGTGAGGCTCTAATGCTGTGTGAGAAAACAGAGCTTTAAAAAGAGCCTTTTAATGCGTTTCATGAGAACGTCCTCCCTCTCTTGAACTTCTTCAAAGAGATTTAGGACATACACAGCGATTGCCATAGGAAAAACGTTTATCCCGCGGTTACGCTCCATCTTCTGATGGGAAGACGAGACTGCGTCCGCGTCCGTGTGAGCAGGATTTGCTTTAGATACAACACAGAAAACATGTGCGCTGTATTTCTGTGATGAGCTCAGTCATAATATTTGCATTCTGGTTGGTGTTCGTCTATAGTGTACGAGCTCACATGTGTGCCGCATTAGAGATCAGCCGCAGAAAATCAGTGCAGGGGCCCCAACGGCCCCACTTCAAGAACAGCAATCTGGAGAACACAAGGTCTTTAATGAACGCATGGCATTACTTTCCAAATGAACAGGACGAGATCAAGCCGGAGGGGAAAATGGTTTAAATCTGCAGATTAGTTGCTGAAGTTCTCAACCTCTTGAAGTCCTTCACACCAACTCTGACTTTTCAGCACACAATCTTGCAGATTAAAAATTGAAAGTCATTATTGGTTCTTTAGAGCAGTATTTTAATCTCTGGGTTTTTCTAAGTTTTTTCTAAGGCTGGGTTTTTGCTAATTTTGACAACCAATTTGGAAAGGTCTGAAGCCTCAAGGTTCCATATTTGGTGGTTATTTTGTAGTAGAACTAGTATTGTGACAGAAATGTATCAATTTGTTACAGGAATATGCATTAAAAAATCAATGGAGTTTGGGTGTCACCTAGTGGCTTTTTTTGTTATAGCACCTAAACAAAATCTCACAGGAACCTACATTTTCATAATATTAACTTCAAATTTGGAACATAATTTAATTAGACATATGGCTTTAATATTCTAGCAAATGTAGGTTTCAAAATATTTATGTTATATCAAATAAAAGTACACTACAATTTCTTTTACAGTAAATTTAAAATCTATGGCATTTTTAATGTCTTTCTATTTTGTGACATAAATGTTGCCTGTTTTTAAGTGTGATACAGACTGGAGTTGCTTTCATTTCTTGTAGCTTCATCTTCATCCACTAGACGGCAGAGGAACATGGATTTCAGTTAACTTTAGGATTGATTTAAAGCTAAAATCATTCAGCAAGCATTTTCTCTGAGGACTCACAGTAACGAAATCACTTCGGTTGTAATCGAAAAGTAGCTGCTGGATGATTTTTGACACTTTTGACGAGTCTGGGGTGTTTTAACTGCAGAATATCCATCCTCTGAGGTTTGGATGAGACATTTTGATGTAGTGACTGTTACAGCAGATCTATGTACTGCTGGCTGTCGCTCGGCTCTTCCAGGAAAATATGGAATATATTCCTCGTCAATCCCAGCATGCACTTGGTGGCTCTCCCGAAGAACATCTGTGACGTCTGGCATGCTTTCAGAAAGATCATTATTTTATTTCTTGGTTCTCCAGAATCCCCTTGTAGTTCATACCTATGTAATCTGTCCGTATTCTCGGTCTCGGATGTATAGAAATATAAAAATGAATGTGGACAGCAGCTCAGATCATTTAGTCTTGGAGGAGTTTCGTGAGAAATTAGTTTTTGATAGCCGATTTTGGCATCGTTGCAGATCTGAGCACAGTTTGAGACATTTTTGATCTCTTTTGTAATTCTAGAAGAGATTTGTGAGATTGCTGTGTTAAAAATTATATATATATATATATATTACTGCTGTCAAAAGATTAATCGCGATTAATCACATACAAAATAAAAGTTTTTGTTTGTATAATATATGTGTGTGTTCTGTGTATATTTATTATGTATATATAAATACACACACATACAGTATATATTTTGAAAATATTTAGACATGTATTTACATGTCTATATTTATATTCATATAATTTATAAGTAAATATATTTCATATATAAACATAACCTATTTTTAAATAAATATATACATGCATGTGTGTGTATTTATATATAATAAATACAATTAATAAATATACACAGCACACATACATATATTATGTAAACAAAAACGTTTATTTTGGATGTGATGAATTGCGATTAATCGCTTGACAGCACTATATATATATATATATATGCTCGTAAATATATATAAACAATAAACCACATACCACAGTTCAAAAGTTTTTTTAAAGAAATTAATACTTTTATTCAGCAAGGATGCATTAAATTGATCAAAAGTGACAGTAAAGACATTTATAATGTTACTAAAGATACAAATAAATATTTCAAATAAGTGCTGCTCTTTTGAACTTTCTGTTAATCAACAAATCCTAAACTTCCACCGAAATATGAAGCAGAAAAACTCTTTTCAACAGTAGAATGTGACTCTGAAGACTGGTGTAATGGCTGCTGAAAATTCAGCTTTGCATCACAGAAATCAATTATATTTTTCAATATATTCAAATACAAAACAGTTATTTTAAATTGTAATAATATTTCAAAATTTGTTACTGTTTTACTGTATTTTTAGTCAAATAAATGCAGCCTTGGTGAGCAGAAGAGATGTCAAAAACAAAACAAAAAATGAACAGACCTCAAACGTTTAAGCTGCAATGTATGTTATTAATTTATCTTGATCAATTTATTAACACTTTGCCTCCAAACCTTACAATAATGTTCTTTGTTTTTGAAATTGAAAATGGGGAATGACCTGCATGAAACATTGACATGGAAAATTTTGTAGGAGCTTCAGTCAGACGAGCCAAAGATATCTGATGTTGTAATGATAGTTCTGTGACAAATGAACTGTCAGAGGGACGATGAACGCTTCGGAAAGTTCCCCAGGGCTAATGGTGCATGCTGGGAATCGTCCCAAAAACTTACTTGTACTGTACCAACTTACATGGAAGCGATGGAAAATCCTGTACAGGAGTGTGACGTTCCACGTCTGTGATGATTTATGAGTGCTGGGAGTGTAAATGCACATTGAGTTCATTGTGTTTAGTGCAGCGCTGGAAACAGAGCTTTATTTAATCTGTGCTGTCATAATACATCGATTTGTTAACAACAAGATGGATGTGAGCAGTTTAGCATGTTAGTAAATGTCCCGCTGTGGAATCATTACAGATCATTATAGTCAGTGTGTGAAGATGCAGGACAGTCTTAAAGAGACAGTTCACCCCAAAATGAGAATTCAGTCATCATTCACTCGCCCTCATGTATTACTTACTTTCTACCATTCAATTCATTTAAACTATCACTCTCCAAAAGTGGCAAAAATACCATAAAAGCATCCTGACATTCATCCATCAGACTCATATCATTGCAAGTCATATGATGCAGTGTGTTTAACCAGCTCTTGTTCTTTGTGTTGTTCAGGGCCCGGTTGGACTGATTGGAATAACCGGAGTGATCGGACAACCTGGAGAAAAGGTAAAACCGAGACAGAGTCTGTATCTTAAACCACACAAGCGTCATGATCCACATTTATTCGGTGTTACTTGATTTCTGCTAGAAAATCTCTTTATTAAACATGACTTAATAATGTTTTTCATTATTTTTCAGGGTGATCGAGGTCCTCCTGGTCCTTTGGGTCCTCCAGGAGAGAAAGGTTCAACAGTAAGAACTTATTTCACATTAGCAAACACACATTAAAATGCATTGCACTGCAAAAAAGGATCTTCTTACTCATTATTTGTGTCTTGTTTTCCAGTAAAATCATCTAAACATTCTTAAATCACAATGCATTTATTTGAGAAGCCAAATAACATATGATTTTAAGTCTTATTTTAAAAAGGGTGGGGGGGGGGATTTAAATAAAGTGTGTTTATGCATTAAACAAGAAATATTTTTTCTGACCAGATCATTCTTAAATCATTCTTAAATCTTTGAATTCTGATTAACAGTAGTAATTTCTTAAAAAATAAAAAACTTTCAGACTTTTTATTAAAAGCATTCTTAATTCTTCAAATAATTTTACACAAGCATGCACATTAGGAGAATGTTTAGATATTTGTACTGAAAAAACAAGACAAAAAAAATTAATGAAGAACATCATCAATAATGGTATATTTTCACTTTCATGAAACACCAGCAGAACGAATCGTTTCTTGTGTGTAAATTGTTGTGTGATGCAAAACGTGTGCAAATCATTTGTGAATACATTTAGAACATATTTCTGTATAAATCATTTATAAAACTTAGTTAGTCCATTCTGAATCTGTTCACTAGTTAGTTGGGTCACTGGTTAGTGGGTTTATGGTGTTAACCGTGTGTCTCTTTGTCTGTTTAAGGGGTATCCGGGTCTTCCAGGAGGTCCTGGGGATTTCGGCCCGCAAGGTCCACCAGTGAGTTTACCCATGATCCTCTGCGGTTGAGATGCAAATTTTGGGGTGAAAGATTGAGGCTGAGAGTACTTTCCACTTGATAGCTTAAATTTTACTTTGTCTCTTTTTCTCAAGGGTCCACAAGGGCCGAGAGGGGCAGCAGGCATTTCCGGGCCGAAAGGACGAAGGGTAAGATGACTAGTGAAAGAAATGAATGTCTTTTTTATCTAGCTAATGATGTCAATGCGGCTAGAACAAAGCAAATTGGAATCTGAACTGGAGTAGAGAGATTCGATTGGTGGAAGCCTTTGATTGACAGCAGAATTGGCCTATAAGCTCATTTGGGTGATTGTTACCAAGAAATAACTAGGTATTTCAACTCAGCCAAAATGATAATTTAATATTAAATTTTTTTAATATAAAGAAAATTAAGCATTTTTTTAAAAGACCATTAAAAGTGCTGTATGTAGGATTGACATTTTTGCAGTCCAAATTCAAAATATTGGAGAGGGGTTTTTTTTCACCCGGCCCCTCCTCCTCAGACTTACGCACACGCAGGTTGCCAGATTGACGACACCAACAGGAACGAGCGCACCTTCCTTGGCAGCTTCCATGACTGAAATGAAATACGCTGTGTTTCCCGCCAACTGGCAACCCGTGGTGCCGAAATACAATTTGGTGAACCGGCAGTGGGCGGAGTCACACAGACCAAAACAGAGACCGACATTCCGACACGGAACGCACATTTTCAAAGGAGAATAACTGAGTGTATCATTGTTTTTCAGATAAACGAGTATGTTAACTTAGCATGTTTCTTACATATCTGCAAACATATTATGGTATTTTAATGCTTTAGTAGAGTCAAAAACTTTCATACAGCACCTTTAATATTGTGTTGCTTTGTAGCTGTATTTTTATAACAATTCATTATTGAAAATAATGTCACAGTGCAAAAAAAATTCTTAATGATCCTAAAAATGCTTAAAGTGCCCCTATTATGGGTTATGAAAGGTTCATAGTTTGGTTTTGGGAGTCCCCAACAACAGGTTGACATGCATGCAAGCTCAAAAAACACTTTTATTGTCTTATAATATGCATTTATTTTGATCTTTTTTGCTCAAGGAATCCTAAACGATTCGCTCAATGATTCATTATTCCAAACCCCTTCATTGCGCGACGCTAATCTGCGGTGATTGGTCTCATTTTCATGTCATCTCGCCTGTAATGCCTGATAAAGCCGCGTTTGTGAGCGCAGTGCTGCTTTGTGTGCAGCGTTACCGGGGAAACAGCTATTTTTACCGCCTCAAAGGCGGCACCTAGTGGCAAAGAATTAATTTTTTTCGTTCAGACCAATGCAAAAAGACCAACACATGGGCGGGCAATATGCTAATGTTTCATTTTGATGTCAACATTAAAAATGGCTTGGGATTCGTTTTAAAAATGACTCGTTTCAATGATTCAGAGTCGACTCTTTCTTTTGAGAGACAATAACTTTATACACAGTGCACTTTCAGATTTAACACTTTGCAGGATGTTTTCATTCACTTAGAGCTGTGTTACACACTGCATGAAAGGTCATTTTCAGAAATCCATATTAGGGGCACTTTAAGGCTAATGCATTCAGCTCTCTATCTTTTCAGTGTGGCTAGATGTTTTTAGTGTTTTTTTTTCTCTGACCAAGTGAATCGTGTTTCTAGATAAACCACAGGGACCTCTAGTGGTCAAAACGAATATGACACAGTCACCTCTGATGGTCTTTATGTCACACTTATTTGAGGGGCTAATTCATCTGAATCCAAAATATATTTAATTAAATATATATTAATAAATTATAAAATTAGTAAATTTATAAAAATTAATATTATAAAAATAAATTTATATTTAATTTTATTAGCATTTTTTATTCTGATATACATTTGATATTTTGAATTAAATTTTATTTTCATTTTTTTTGCATTTTAATTTTTGTTGAAGTTTTGCTAATTATGTTTGTCATTTTTATTAGCTTTTGTTCTTAAAAATGTGTCTGTCATTGGAGTACATTTTACAAAAAAAAACCTATTTCAGTTTATCTACCTCAAAATTTAATTTAGTGTATTACTTGGTGTTACTACAATTTTTTTCAGTGTATGTAGTTTTTTTGTTAAGCTTTAGTTTTAGTTTATTTTGTTATTTTCGTACTTAAACTTAATGAAAAAGAGAATTGTTGAAATATAATATATATTTTTTAAATATTTTATTTTATTTCCAGTAATGAAGATGTTTTAGTTAATGATAATAATATGACGCTACAGAATGATTGATGATAATATACAGAATGATTTCTGGATTATTTTTAAATTTTTTGCCTGTCAACTTCTAGACTTTTTAGGGAAACTGAATGAATATTTATGTTTATATTAATTTCTATATTTTTATTTGTATTTTTACATTATTTATATTCTGATTTACTTTTTTCTGAATAAAGCTGGAAGAACAACTTTTTTTGGAGCATTTAAAATGTTTAATGTATGTAACAAAAAGTAACGGTCTTAAAAGCACTGTAGCAGAAACAGCTGGTTTAATTAATAACAGGTCACCGTGAGGGTAAATGGTTAAGGAAAACTCAATTACTTGCAGGAAAGCTTGACTAACATAATAAATGACAAAGAGAAAGAGCATGTTTGACGTGAGTTCTAATGACACAGGATGAAGTCTGTCAGGGGCCACAGAAGCTGATGAAAAGAGGTTTGAGGTTCACGCCAAACTCTGCAATTAAGAGAACGCTCCCCTCCGTTCTGTTTATATAAAACAGTGCAGATCTGATTTTAATGATGATGAGAATGGGCGACTTTAAACCCCCTTGTGAAAACATGACAGACAGATCGCTTACACATCCTGAACAGAGCATCGAGAGTCTCCGTTAATGAACCCAAAGTCAACAGACGAGACTCTCTGGCTCTGTGCTTCTGCTCCAAAACCTTGTATGCACCTGCATAGACAGCTTTTAACACATTATAAGCATATTTCAAATGCAGTGGCTGCTGAATACATTATAGTGCCTTTTAAGATCCCTTATTTTGAATAAATACTAAGGCAGCATTGCATTTTATTTGAGAATGCACTGCAACAAGCTCAGTCCAAGATTGTGGACAAAATAAGAGAAACTTTGCTAGGAAAATCTCTTTTATAATCCTATATATAATTCATTCAGTACTGAAAATTATAGATTGAATTGAATTGTACAATTATATGTGATATTTGTATTTTTTGCTATTATTTATATACTATTGTAGGAATATTATTTATGTACTATTGTATTGTTAATATTTGATTAGTAATATGCATTGCTAAGAATTTCATTTGGACAACTTTAAAGATGATTTTCTCAATATTTAGATTTTTTTGCACCCTCAGATTCCAGATTTTCAAATAGTTGTATCTCGACCAAATATTGTTCTATCCTAACAAACCATACATCAATTGAAAGCTTATTTATTCAGCTTTCAGATGATGCATAACTGTCAATTTCGAAAAATTTACCCTTATGATTGGTTTTGTGGTCCAGGGTAACATATAGGCATGTAAAAGTTAAAATCATTTGTTCTGGGAAAACATTGTGATGGCATTTATGTCTCTTGTGTCGTATACCAACTTCCTGTTTCAAGAGAAAATAGATCACACAGGATAGAAAACTGCACTTTAGTGGTGCTTTTCACACCACTACAAAACCCAAAACAATTGCATTGTGATTTGCATTACAAAGCTGCTGAATGATCGTGATGAACAGACACACGTCACACATGCTTGACAGCTCGACTGCTTTTGTTTTGCAGGGTGAAAAGGGATCGCCAGGGAAGATTGGAGCTCCTGGATTCATCGTAAGCAACTCTGAACACTTGAAAATCGATTCAAAATTAAACATTTTTGATAAAATAAATAAACTTTAGATAACATTTTTCGTAGAAGAAGAATCTGACAAAATCTTCTCTTGGGACGTCTTCATATGGAAAAACTGCTTCGTCTCAAACCACACAACATGTAGATTTCAACCGCAGACAGTTTTGAGCTCATTCTGGTTCAGAGGAGATCAGTAAGCTTCAGTTGAACTCTTTCATGTGTGTTTGTGTTTGTTTGTTTGTAGGGTAAAGCTGGAGCTCCAGGGAAGAGAGGAGCAGCAGGAGTGCCTGTAAGTCTCAGTCTAACAATTGTGATGCTACCATCTTTATTTAAAAACACTTCATATTATAATATACTTTATTTTAAAAAAGTAAAATATTATTTCAGAAATACTAGTATTTTTGTTTAAATCAATACTATTACTTTCTTTTAATACTCAAAAGTATCAGACTAATTGCATTAAAACAGTACAGTATGTTGCCAAAAATACTGTTGTTTTTGTTTAAATAAATAATATTATTTTATTTTAATACTCAAAAGTATTAAAATAATCAGATTAAAACAGCATAATACATTACCAAAAAGGCTCTTATTTTTAAGTAAATACTATTATTAATACTCAAGTATTAAAATAATTGCTGTGAGTTAGTAAAATATGTTGCCAAAAATACTATTATTTTTGTTTAAATACATTTTATTGTTTTCTTTAAATTTTCTAATGTATTGAAATAGTCATAGTAAAATAGTGTTTTGTTAAAAATGCTATGATTTTTGTTTAAATTAATACTATTTTTTGAGTACTCAAAAATGTTTAAATAATCATATTAAAATAATAAAATATGTTGCCAAAAAATATAATTATTTTTGATTAAATAAATAGTGTAATTTACTTTTAATACCCGAAAGTATTAAAATAAGTATTAAAATATGTTGCTAAAAATACGATTATTTTTGTTTAAATAAGTATTGTTGTTTTAATATGCAAAAAAATATTAAAATAATGATATTGAAATAGTAAAATGTGTTGCCAAAAATACTATTTCAAAAAAATACTGCTATTTATTTAATACAATTTTCTTTTAGTACTTAAATGTATTAAAATATAGTATGTTGCCAAATATACTATTATTTTTGTTAAAAATAAAAACCATTATTTTATTTTATATTCATGGATTTAAACAATCTGACTTAAATAGTTAAAAATGATGTCAAAAATACTATTGTTTTCCGTAAATAATTGCTATTGTTTTTTTTAACTATCAAAATGATTAAAATAATTGTTAAGGAACCAGAATTGTAAAGGGGAGTCTCCTTATGATTCCCATCCCTATTTATCACATATATAGCAGGATGTTGAGATATCTTTGGTCTGAGACCACTGTGTCGAGTGTCTGTGTTTTCCTGCAATAAAGCGTGTGTGTGTGTTTGCTGTGAGGAAGTGAGAAGTGTGTGTCGAAGCGTTTAGTGTTCACACAGGCCTATTTAATGCTCTCCAGCTCACAGCGTCCTCTAGTGACTGACGGTGAACGTGTAGTTTTGCCAGCCGTGCTGTTCGGTGTTTCACAGCCTCATTAAAGCGCTGCAGATTCGTTCATAACTCAGATGATTTATGATGTTTAAACCGCAGGCTTCCTGTGAACAGATAATCCCTGCTTTAATGCTGCAGATGTGTGGTGATGTGATCCAGTGACACAACGGTTTAATAATAGTGAATCAGAGCACTAGGATATGCAAATACTGTCAGAGATGACTGGTGAATGTTGACAGACTGTTAGCGGCTCATTTAACACTAGTGTTCAAAAGTTTAGGGTCTGGAAGATTTTTTATGTTTTGCTCACCAAGGCTACATTTATTTGATTTAAAAAACTAAACAAAAACAAAAAAACAGTAATATTGGGAAATGTTATTACAATTCAAAATAACCATACGCTATGTAAATATATTGTAATTTATTCCTGTGATCAAACATGAATTATCAGCATCATTACCCCAGTCTTCAGTGTCGCATGATCCGTGTGGTGTTATATTGGTTTAAAAAAATAATAAAATATGAGCGAAATATGTTGGCAAAATATAATTTTTACTTAAATACTGTGAAAACTAATATATTATTGATACTTAAATACTATACTCAAAGGTATTCAAATAAAATAAAAATGGTAAAATATGTTGATATTGTCACGGTGCGTGCGGGGAGATGAAGCGAGGACTCAATCGCTGGAGAAAGGGCACTTTATTTTAGTCATAAAAAAATGAAACAAAAACAAACTCAAACCACCCCGAGGGGGAAAAACAGACAAGCAGAGCTAAAGCTGCACACATGCAGACACGAAACACACACAATGAGAAATGACGGATCAGCACAGGACGGCAGACACAAGGAGAATAAATAGGAACCAAACGAGGGAGACACAGGTGGAGCAACTTACACAATAACGAGGTAACAAGATGGGAGGGGCCAGACAATAGACAGGAGAGAGCACATGGCAACAGACAAACACAACACAAGCCATGTGCTCCCAGAACACAGTCATCTGGTGGCCCTCCTGGGCACACCCGCTGAAGACTGTGACAGATATGTTAATATATGTAAAATATTATTTTTGTTACTATTCATATTAAAATGGTCAAAATGTTGCCAAAATATGTTTGTTTAGTTAAAATAAACACTATTATTTTAATAATCAAAAGTATTATAATAATTTTATTGAAAATGTAAAATATATTGCCAAAATTTTTTTATTTTAATAAATATTATATTTGAATACTCAGTTATTAAAATAATCTTATTAAAATGTGTTGCCAAAATATTATGTTTGTTTAAATAAATACTATAATTTTATTTTGATACTCAGAAATATTCAAATTGTAAAATGTGTTGGCAAAAATATTGTTTTTGTTTAAATAAATACTATAATTTTTTAAATATTCAAAACTTTGAAACTAGCCAATTATAAACCAGGTCCATGCCTTAAAATGAGTGGATTTATCATGATTTTTTTTATTTATTTTTTTTGCTTGAATATGAAGCCCGTGAAGTGAAGGTAGAGTTGAGAGGGTCACATATGGAAGCGTTTATGACTGTTATTAATGCATCTTTGTGTAAGTCATATTTACTGCTGGAAAATGAAGTGCACTTATGACTTTTGATGAATGGGGTGATTAATGGCCAGCAATGTGCTTAAACGTCAGAAATGTGCTGTGAACAGTCTCAGCAAGCATGCATGACGTGACTCGTTGATGCATCTTTCTTGTGCAACACGTGTAAGTCATGATGTGAAGACCTCCGAGGGTTTGTGAGGCGTTTCGCTGCTCGTTGTGGCATTTCTGGTGTTGAGCGCGAGTGTTTCGTGTCATTACGTCTAAGCGTAATCAGCCGCTCTGTCAGCAGATGAAAGATTTTAACAGCGTCTCTGGAAGGGGTTCGTGTTTCAAGTCTTTGATCCCGTGTGCATCTCAATGTCCTCGTGTTGACACATGCTTATGCGCACATTTAAACATGCATCCACCCTTTTATGCTGTTCACGTGTGCATGGCACAATTCAGTTCTAGACAGGCGTAATCGAAAGATCTCTTCACATCCTGCGCCAAGGGCGATTCATGTATAATATCAAAACAAGACTGTTTATGGGAAAAGTGTTTGAATTGTACATGACTTTATATTTATTTCATGTTTATTTGATTGTTTAGGGCTCCAGAGGCCCTCCGGGGGACCCGGGCCCAGATGGAGAGCAAGGTCACGAGGTACTTCCTGAAAGAAACTGAATTTTTGTGTGAAATGGATTTCTTCTGTGTTCAATTATGCAATAACATGCAACTTAAAAAAGGGGTAATTCAGTACAGTGCAGTTATATAATACTGAATTCAATATAGATGACATAATATAGGCACACGAAGGAGTGTAAAACAACACGGTGCACTGCAGAACCGTTAATAAAAGCACATTTTAATCATTTAGTAAATTAATTATGTTGCAGGTTAATTTAGCATTATTTCTGTGTTTCGAGTCTGATATATGAGCCACACGTGTTATTTTGACTTATTGTTCTCGTCCGCCTGTGTGTTTTTTTTGTGCATGCACAGGGACCTGCAGGACCTGAAGGAGAGCAGGGGCCTGTGGGGGAACCTGGAATCAAGGTGAGGCAAAACCCTGTAAAGCCTGACATGAAACAATAGACAGAAATGGAAATTGAAATGGAACAGATGATTGAAACTTTAAATTAAAATATTAAAAGAAATTTTGCAAATATGACCCTGGACCACAAAACCAGTCATAAGGGTCAATTTTTCGAAATTGAGATTTATACAACATTTGAAAGCTGAATAAATAAGCTTTCATTGGTGTATGGTTTGTTAGGATAGGACAATATTTGGCTGAGATACAACTATTAGAAAATCTGGAATCTGAGGGTGCAAAAAAATCTAAATATTGAGAAAATCATCTTTAAAGTTGTCCAAATGAAGTTCTTAGCAATGCATATTACTAATCAAAAATGAAGTTTTGATATATTTACGGTAGGAAATTTACCAAATATCTTCATGGAACATGATCTTTACTTAATATCCTAATGATTTTTGGCATAAAAGAAAAATCTGTAATTGTGACCCATACAATGTATTCTTAGCTGTTGCTACAAATATACCCCAGCGACTTAACACTGCTTTTGTGCTGCAGGTTCACATATGTGTTTATTGTGGAGTTTTATATCAAAAGCATCAGGCTTTTATGGCTCATATAGTCTGATATAGTTAGAATATGGAGGAAAAACAGCTCAATTTTATTCAGAGTCCCAAAGTGGGCAAAAATACGCAATTTGGTGCAGATGCTGATATTTATATGGACTAAAAGTATGATGAAATTCTGATGCTTGTGATGTAAATCAATGAGATCTTTATAACAGTACAGCAGATACTGACATAAAATGATCTAAATATCCTCAAAAGATCCTGATGATCAGATTTGAGACTCACTAATTTTCTAAAACATGATTGATGGAGAATCAAGTAAAGCTGAGCTGCTTCAGTCCAGTAAGTGTTCATCTGGAAATATTACTGCAGTTATTCCGAGGTTTACTTGATAAAAATAAGTAATTTGACAGCAACAAGACATGTGAGGCATGAGCTGAAGGTGGATGTTTGTACAATTATACTGAAAAAATATGATAGAGTAGGCTTTATAGGTTTAAAGAGATCCGAAAATCACCATATTTCTAACGCTGTGGAACACAAAAGGAGACATTAAGCAGAATGTCCAAGCTGCTGTTTACAATGAAGTGCAATGGAAATGGATGATTTCTACTGACAAGCTCCAATAATAACAGTATAAAAGCGAGAACTGTTGGCATTTGCAACTGTGTCTTTCTGTCTTTTTCCAGGGTGAAATGGGGCCTGTCGGAGAGGAGGGTGAACTGGGCCAACCGGGCATCAGAGTGAGTGAAGCGACCTCATTCCCGTGAACGTGATCCATCAGTGTATTTTCATTGCTTTTACTGACGTGAGCCAACAGTGTCAATAATCTGACAGAAGGACCCTCAGGCTCACACACACTGGACGTATTTGTCTCTGGTTACTGAATTATTCAAGCAATTCTCTGTGTTTGTTATCGGATATTATGACTTCGGGAGCAGCGTCCTAACCGAGTGAATCTCATGAAACTTGACATGCATTTTTTTGGGGGCTCATATTTCACCCCAAAATAAATCATACATTTCATTCTCAGTACTGCATTGTGGAATTTTTTTTTATATGTTATTCAAACTGTAAAATATTTATTCACAATCTTGCTAATATTGCAATCAGATTTGTTGATTTAGTAATACAAATAAACATGTCTGTAATGGTTAATAGGAAAAACAAATAAGCACATTTCTGCCGCAGTTTCAGCTGGTTTTTGGGATGAATCCCATGATGCTTTTCCTGGTCTTACATGTTACTGTTTGTTTTAGGGTCTTCCAGGGCCACCTGGAGAGGACGGGCATCAAGGGAAGGACGGACCAAAGGTGGGGACTAATCCGCTTTTCTTGTACAATGAAGTTAAGCGCCTGCTGATTTGGTGGTTTTAGGACGGATTTTATAAGCCGAGAAATGTCTGGGATTGTTTTATTTTGCCCCTGCTTTTCCCTGAGAGTTTAACGACATCATTGAAATGTAAAAACAAGTGTAGTTGGGGAAACTTAGCGTCTTGTTTTCATAAGCAAATGGTTTTTTTCCGAGAAGTCATAATGGGATGAGCAGCAGGAGTCATTTTTTTAAGACTCTATCCAATAATGTGTTTTTCAGCACAGGAAACTCAGGTTATTTTTAGCAGGTTATTTGTTGAGGTACGATGGGTATGCCACAAAACACAAGCTAACATACATGTGTGTGTTTTGTTCATTACCTTTCAGGGTCGACCAGGAGTTATGGGACCTCAGGGAGAGCCAGGACTTCAAGGTTACACAGTGAGTTTCATGCATGCAAATATATGCACTTATGAATGCTTCCAAAATCACACTCACATTTGCAGAAAGTTTTGGGAGTGAACCTCTTAATTATCGTTTTTGTGTATGTTTGAATAAAGGAGACTTTCGCTATTTTTTTGTGAACGTAAACCAACCAGACATGATAATCGATTAATTATCTCAAAACGTTCAGTCTATCATCATTCCAAAAAAAATATTACTTTGGATTAGACAAGGAAATTTTCTATTTTTATCTTTATTTGTATCTTCACTGTTTTTCATTAACTATAGGGTCACACTGGTAAGCAAGGTCCAGCAGGGCCCCCGGGACCAAAGGGAGAAAAGGTTATTCAGCATATTTTGAATGATAATCTCAGTCTAAATGCCATATTTGAGTTACATTTAATGCTTAACATTCTACGCAATATATGCAAATATGCTTTTTTTCAAAGCAGTAAATCATATTGTGAATGTTTCTATAATTAGTGTAAAGCCAGTGTTAAAAAAAATTGTGTTAGAAACTGAGTTTGACCAATTATGTGTGTTTTTCAGGGTTACCCAGGAGAAGACAGTAAAACGGCAGGACCACCTGGGCCCTTAGGTGAACCAGTAGGTCTTAATTTCCTTTAACTTCCTGTTTTTGTCCAACACCTGGACTGAAATCAGTAAATAAAGAGGCAGTGACATTTACATCACTTTATTGAAGAAATAAGACAACATATCAGTTTTTGTGTGCGTATAGGGCGCTCCAGGAGAGAAGGGTGAACGTGGGGAACCAGGAGAGGACGGATATCAGGTTAGTGTCTCTGTAAGGAGGAATTTCATGCTTTGTAAAAATCATTCCTCTTCACTAACTAGCTTAACTATTAACTATTTGAACACCTCAGAAACTGCATAGAAACACCCTAGCAACCACACAGCAACATAATCAAGAACTGCAGAGCAACACCCTAACAACCACACAGCAACATGATCAGAAACTGCATAGCAATGCCCTAACAACCACACAACAACATGATCAGAAATTGCATAGCATCACCCAAGCAACCACACAGCAACATGATCAGAAACTGCATAGCATCACCCAAGCAACCACACAGCAACATGATCAGAAACTGCATAGCATCACCCAAGCAACCACACAGCAACATGATCAGAAACTGCATAGCATCACCCAAGCAACCACACAGCAACATGATCAGAAACTGCATAGCATCACCCAAGCAACCACACAGCAACATGATCAGAAACTGCATAGCACAACCGTGGACGTCCAGGAAAGAAGGTAACCAAAATTTGTGAAGCAAAAAGAATGATGGCAACTAAATTGAATTAAATTGCATTAAAACAATATATGGGACCATTTAATTTTAATAGCACAAGGGTGGAAACAGAAGTCTTTACAATCTGCAGTATTGTGTCAGAAATAAAACGGACCTAGAATAGAGCCCTGTGGAACTCTTTTTCACTTTGGTTTGTTTGGGATGCATTCTGCTCTGTATTTTCACAATACAGTCACTTTTTTCTTGTCATTCTCACTTGTAAACAACTCAAACCAGTCCTGCTCATTGATATTTCCATCTTACTCTTTGATAGGGTGAAAAAGGGCCGCCAGGTCACTTGGGAGAAATGGGGTCATCTGGCGAAATCGGACAGACGGGGGAGAGAGGACTCAAAGGTGCTCGTGGAACCAGAGGACCCGCAGTTAGTGTGCTTTCTCCTTTCACGCATCCCTTCACTCTTTCTGATGTTGAGAAATAGCTGTGCAAATCCCAAAGATGATTAAGTAACTTAATCACCATCACAAAGGGACTGCAATAGCAGTGCAAAACAATGCAGTCTGAATGAGAGGAATAGATGCACTGAATTTATTAACAAGGGGAAATTTGGGAATATTCTGAAGCTTGAACCCACAACCTCAGCATTATGCTGTTGTATATGCTTTCACCACTAGGGGAGCCCTAGACAATAGTGTATTATATGAATAATTGTTAGTTAATTAGTTCAGACATGTTAGTGGGTTATTTTGTTAAAGAAATTAGGTATTAAAAATATGTACTATTATTTCTGTATGAGCTGAAACAGTGAGTTACAAGACCGTAATAATTTTCTAACATGCTGAGAATGAGTTCTATTCTCAAACTTGCTGCTTTTACAGGCTGAATTAAGGCGTGTGTAAACATTCGCAGGATTTGGAATTGAACCAAAGCTTTTTGATGGGATTTACACTAATGCCATTAGAGATACAGGGACTAATCCGCTTTTCTTGTACAATGAAGTTAAGCGCCTGCTGATTTGGTGGTTTTAGGACGGATTTTATAAGCCGAGAAATGTCTGGGATTGTTTTATTTTGCCCCTGCTTTTCCCTGAGAGTTTAACGACATCATTGAAATGTAAAAACAAGTGTAGTTGGGGAAACTTAGCGTCTTGTTTTCATAAGCAAATGGTTTTTTTCCGAGAAGTCATAATGGGATGAGCAGCAGGAGTCATTTTTTTAAGACTCTATCCAATAATGTGTTTTTCAGCACAGGAAACTCAGGTTATTTTTAGCAGGTTATTTGTTGAGGTACGACGGGTATGCCACAAAACACAAGCTAACATACATGTGTGTGTTTTGTTCATTACCTTTCAGGGTCGACCAGGAGTTATGGGACCTCAGGGAGAGCCAGGACTTCAAGGTTACACAGTGAGTTTCATGCATGCAAATATATGCACTTATGAATGCTTCCAAAATCACACTCACATTTGCAGAAAGTTTTGGGAGTGAACCTCTTAATTATCGTTTTTGTGTATGTTTGAATAAAGGAGACTTTCGCTATTTTTTTGTGAACGTAAACCAACCAGACATGATAATCGATTAATTATCTCAAAACGTTCAGTCTATCATCATTCCAAAAAAAATATTACTTTGGATTAGACAAGGAAATTTTCTATTTTTATCTTTATTTGTATCTTCACTGTTTTTCATTAACTATAGGGTCACACTGGTAAGCAAGGTCCAGCAGGGCCCCCGGGACCAAAGGGAGAAAAGGTTATTCAGCATATTTTGAATGATAATCTCAGTCTAAATGCCATATTTGAGTTACATTTAATGCTTAACATTCTACGCAATATATGCAAATATGCTTTTTTTCAAAGCAGTAAATCATATTGTGAATGTTTCTATAATTAGTGTAAAGCCAGTGTTAAAAAAAATTGTGTTAGAAACTGAGTTTGACCAATTATGTGTGTTTTTCAGGGTTACCCAGGAGAAGACAGTAAAACGGCAGGACCACCTGGGCCCTTAGGTGAACCAGTAGGTCTTAATTTCCTTTAACTTCCTGTTTTTGTCCAACACCTGGACTGAAATCAGTAAATAAAGAGGCAGTGACATTTACATCACTTTATTGAAGAAATAAGACAACATATCAGTTTTTGTGTGCGTATAGGGCGCTCCAGGAGAGAAGGGTGAACGTGGGGAACCAGGAGAGGACGGATATCAGGTTAGTGTCTCTGTAAGGAGGAATTTCATGCTTTGTAAAAATCATTCCTCTTCACTAACTAGCTTAACTATTAACTATTTGAACACCTCAGAAACTGCATAGAAACACCCTAGCAACCACACAGCAACATAATCAAGAACTGCAGAGCAACACCCTAACAACCACACAGCAACATGATCAGAAACTGCATAGCATCACCCAAGCAACCACACAGCAACATGATCAGAAACTGCATAGCATCACCCAAGCAACCACACAGCAACATGATCAGAAACTGCATAGCATCACCCAAGCAACCACACAGCAACATGATCAGAAACTGCATAGCATCACCCTAGCAACCACACAGCAACATAATCAAAAACTGCAGAGCAACACCCTAACAACCACACAGCAACATGATCAGAAACTGCATAGCAACGCCCTAACAACCACACAGCAACATGATCAGAAACTGCATAGCATCACACAAACAACCACACAGCAACATGATCAGAAACTGCATAGCATCACCCTAGCAACCACACAGCAACATAATCAAAAACTGCAGAGCAACACCCTAACAACCACAAAGCAACATGATCAGAAACTGCATAGCAACGCCCTAACAACCACACAGCAACATGATCAGAAACTGCATAGCATCACCCTAACAACCACAAAGCAACATGATCAGAAACTGCATAGCAACGCCCTAACAACCACACAGCAACATGATCAGAAACTGCATAGCAACATCCTAACAACCACACAGCAGCATGATAAAAACACTCAAAACACCTCAGAAACTGTATAGCAACACCCTAGCAACAACACAGCAACATGTTAAAAACCACTCTGAACATCTCAGAAACTGCATAGCAACACCCTAGCAACAATACAGCAACATAATCAGAAACTGCATAGCAACACCCTAGCAACCATACAGCAACATAATCAGAAACTGCATAGCAACACCCTAACAACCACACAGCAGCATGATAAAAACACTCAAAACACCTCAGTAACTGCATAGCAGCACCTTAGCAACCACACAACAGCATGACCAGAAACTGCATAGCAACACACTAGCAACCACACAGCAACATGATGAGAAACTGCATAGCAACACCCTAACAACCACACAGCAGCATGATAAATAAACATTCAGAACACCTCTGAAACGGCATAGCAACATGATGATAAACTGCATAGCGACACTGTAGCAACCACACAGCAACAAAAAAATCACTGGAAACACCTTAGCAACAGCATAACAGTGTCTTTTTGGAGCACCAGAGACACTGGTTGTTTTCTTTTGCTGATTGTTCTTCAGATGATTTCCTTACAGGTGGTCTAGATTGAGCTGGTCTGGATCCTGCAGCGCTGCAGGCCTGTTTTCATCACAAACAGTCCACACTCACATTCATATTTGTGTGTGTGTTTGTGTGTGTGTGTGTGTGTGTGTGTGTGTGTTTTAGGGTCATGCAGGGGTCACAGGCGCCCGTGGTGCGATCGGTCAGCAGGGATCTCCTGTAAGTCTGATGTGTGACCAACACTGCAGCTCTGGTCCAAAACTGCTGCTGTCCACCTACATAGACAGCAGTCAGTGCATCATGCTAACAGTGCACTGGAAATTCAGCTCACAATAGAGTTTCACCTTTGCATGTTGTTTGTGTTTGATGCATGTCTTTGCATCAGACTTTGCAGTTTGCACCCTATGATGCCTTAAAATGCTGTCTAGGTAGGTGGCTCACTAGGATTTGGAGCACAGAGTTTTTGTTGCATAACTTTCTTAATTAAGTTGCTGGAAAATTTGACATGCCAAAGCTAATGTTTGCAGTTTTTTCTTTGGTTAATTTTGGACACTGGCCACACGTCTCCAGACCGGTGGGACATCACACTGAAGTGTCTGCTTGCAAAATGAAATTAAAGCACAGTCTTTTCAATCACAATTCACAAACTCACAATCTTTTTTTACAGGGATCTCCTGGGCTTCCTGGTGAAGCAGGACCCATAGGCGAGAAGGGAGTTCAGGTTTGTGTCTAGCGCACTACTTACACTATTTATGCCGTGTGTAGTTCATATACTGTGCAGTTTGTGATTTTTTTTCTGTATGCATGAAACACCTGGGGCCAGGCTTACAAAAATCTTTTTAAGAAATAAGTTAAGACATTTCTTAAGATAAATTCTGCAAATTCGTAAAAATGTTCTGAAGTGCATCTTCCGAGTGAACGCTTCCGGTATGTGTGACTAATGTATGTGGGGCTGTCCTAACTTTAAGAAGTTACATACGATGATATTTAAGAAGATTATTTTCAAGAATTAGAATTCTTCTTAAGTTTTGTCTTAAGAACAATCTTAAGAAAAAACATAAGAACATTCTTAAGAAGAATTTTGATGTACTAAAATAACTCAAACTAAAACTGAATGAAAAATCAATCAAACGTATGAAATACATATTTATGAATAAAATGTATGAATAAAAATGTATAAAAACAAAAAAACTAATAAAAATGACAAACACAAAAATTACTAAAACTTTAACTGAAATTAAACTGAAAATGGAAAATACAAAAATAAAATCCTCAAAATATTTAAAACAAAAACTATAATAGTTTCTTAATCATAAAATAATTATTATATTTGCAAAGATTTGCATTATGCAACCAGATCACACTATTATTTTAGTACATTTGAGATATTACTAGTTTTTAGTAACATTTTAAATTGGTTTTTATTTTATATTTTCTTTTTCCTGGGCAACTAGCTAAAATAAAATAAGTTAAACGTTTTTATTACTTATTACTTTTTTATTTTATTCTAAATCATTTTAGTTAACTATAGTTATCCTGGTATGCTGCTGTATATTACAATGTGCTTTAACTTCAGTTTTCAGTGTTATTATTGTTAATATCGACTACAATTTTTCTTGACTTCTTTCATCAAACTGCCAAAAGTAAACATGTATTTATACTTAAATTGCGCTAAAATAGCGCTATATATATTCAAGAAGAATTAAGCACACAACATAGCGAGGTCATGTGACTACAATGTAGCATTTTTGAAATTTGAAAAATCTTCATACTGCATACTTTACATAGTTTAACAAATAGTATTCAGCATATTCAGTAAGCAATATGCTAGTGTTTTATGAATCTAAAATGGCAAAAGTTTAGGATCAGACTGTAGCAAACATAAATAGATTCATTTAAAACCAACAGAAGTCAATGGCAGGTCGCCTCTGCAGTATAAAAACATGTTGTGTAACAGAATTAATTCTATATCCTTTTGTCAGCTTTTTTTTTGCAAATCCATCCTGGAAAGCTCCTGTAAACATTCACAGAGCCACATTCACATATCATAAATATCCCATTCAGATATCAGCCAATGAACGGCATTAAAAACCTGAGCGAAACAGAATCACAGCATTTGGCCACCCAGCGTGACTTTATTATTTTTATTTCCTTTGTTATCCAGAGCATTAAAGGAATTGTGCGCTCAGAGATGCTTGAAAAAGAGCTGATTATAGCGATTTCTTTATCACGGCATGGAAAAATCTTTCTTTTAATTCACACCAATCATTCTTAGGTAACAGATTTATATAAGGGTTTTGAATAAGTGTGTGTGTGTGTTTTAGGGACTCGCTGGGAAGAAAGGATCCCGAGGTCCCGCTGGAGCTCCAGGTCCTGAAGTGAGTATTTTACACCACATGTTTATGTTTGCACAAATCACTGCATAAATCAATAATAAAAAATATTATATAATTTTTTAATAAAAATTTTACTTAAAAAAAAATCTTTTAAAAATGCTTAGGCCTAAATTTAAGATTTATGTATCTGTCATGTGTTTTAGGGTCCGGTTGGTTTGCCGGGGCCCAGAGGGACAGATGGGTATCCGGGATCCGATGGGCTTCCTGGTCTTCCTGGTTTACCGGGTCTGCCTGGATCCAAAGGCCGAACAGTGAGTCAAGTCAAGTCACCTTTATTTATATAGTGCTTTTAACAATACAGATTGTATCAAAGCAGCTTTACAGTATTAAATAGGAAAATAATGCCAAAGGATAATAATGAACACTCAATTTTCAGTTAAAGGCAGTTTATTGAATTCAGTGATGTCATCATCCAGCTCAGTTCAGTTTAAATAGTATCTGTGCAATCAAGTCGATGATATCGCTGGAAATGAAGTGTCCCCAACTAAGCAAGCCAGAGGCGACAGCGGCAAGGAACCAAAACTCCATCGGTGACAGAATGGAGAAAAAACCTTGAGAAAAACCAGGCTCAGTCGGGGGGCCAGTTCTCCTCTGACCTCGGAATAAGAGAGAAACAGACTAATATTAGCGTAGATGCCTTTCTTCTAACGATGTAGCAAGTATATCGGGTGTTCTAGGAAGTGTTCCCAGTTCCCGTTGTCCTAATTAATGCAGCCTAAAAATTCATGGATTTGAATATTAGAAATGTGTTAGTGTGTTATGTGTAAGCCAGGTTAAAGAGATGGGACTTTAATCTAGATTTAAACTGACAGAGTGTGTCTGCCTCCCGAACAATGTTAGGTAGGTATTCCAGAGTTTGGGTGCTAAATAAGAAAAGGATCTGCCGCCCGCAGTTGATTTTGATATTCTAGGTATTATCAAATTGCCAGAGTTTTGAGAGCGCAGCGCACATGGATGACTAGAATCTAGGCCGCCAGTCTGGCAGCTTTAGAAAGGTAATCTGGTATACTTCAGTGTCTGGTTGTCTCAAGGATATTCTCACCCCTGCACCATTCACTCAAACTCAACACAAAGACGATGCTCATTCTTAAAATCATTCAATTATAAGGTCAACTTTACCACAAGGTCACTATCACTCTAAGGTGACCCTAAAATAATATAAACAGCACTGGCATTTGAGTGTAAAACAAATGTTTTAAACAATTATCTTCATATTACATACAAGTATTAATTCTGCATTAACAGCCTTAGGAAATAGAAATGCTGCATTTTGGACCAGCTGAAGTTTGTTTATTTAGCGTGCAGAACAACCACCCAATAAAGCATTACAATAATCTAAACTTGAGGTCATGAACGCATGAATTAACGTTTCTGCATTTGCAATTGAGAGCATAGGTTGGAATTTATATATATTTTTGAGATGGAAAAATACAGTTTTACAAATGCTAGAAATGTGGCTTTCAAAGGAAAAATTGCTATTAAATAGCACACTTGGGTTCCTAACTGATGTCGAAGAATTGACAGAGCAGCCATCAAGTGTTAGACAGTGTTCTAGGTTTTTACATGCGGAGGTTTTAGGTCCGATAATTAACACCTCTGTTTTTTCAGAATTTAGCAGTAAGAAATTACTCATCATCCAGTTTTTTATATCGACTATGCATTCCATTCGTTTTACAAATTGGTACGTTTCGCCGGGCCGCGAAGAAATATAGAGCTGAGTATCATCAGCATAACAGTGAAAGCTAACTCCGTGTTTCCTGATGAAAAAGTAACGGCCCTAGTACTGAGCCTTGAGGTACTCCATACTGCCCTTGTGATCGATATGATACCTCTTCATTCACTGCTACGACTCGATGGCGGTCAGATAAGTACGATTTGAACCATGCTAATGTACTTCCACTAATGCCAACAAAGTTTTCTAGTCTGTTCAAAATAATGTTATGGTCAATAGTGTCGAACGCAGTGCTAAGATCCAGTAACCAATACTAGGGCTGCCCTTGACTAAAGATTTTGCTGGTCAACTAGTAGTCGTTCATTTTAAGCAATATTGGACTAATCACACATTTATTAATCAACCATTTATATAATAATTTAATTATATAATAATAATTATAAAAAAATGTGATAAAAAAATAACATAATAATTAGCCTTTAATTGTCTACAAAGCCTAATAAGCACTCAAGCACGTGCATAAAGCTTGCCACAGCACTGCAGAAGAAATTATTATGAATATGTCAGGGAAAAACAGTAAGGAGGCTGCATTAACATTTTAATAATTTATTGATACACTAGTGCTTTCTTTGTTTTCGTCTTAAGAGATGTCGGGCGACACTGACTCGTCATCTCCACAGTAATGATGCGCCTGTATGCATGTTTCATCGGATTACATAATCTGAGAATATTTGTTTTCCATTTGAATTGGTTCATTTGAAAGTAGACATTTCACTCTCTATAGATATGTTTTCAAATCTGTAAGGCAAGAATACACAGAGCTTCGGAGTGTCACGCTCAAGTTCACAGAGACCGAAACGGCAGAAAGCGCATCTTGTTTGTTTTCATTATTTTACAAAGCAAAAATCATTCAATTATAATGCAATAAGAGCACATTCAAATACTGCGGTGCTAAACCATTCAGAGCTTTATAAGTAATAAGCAAGATTTTAAAATCTATAGGATGTTTAATAGGGAGCCACTGCAGTGTTGACAGAACCGGGCTAATATGGTCATACATCCTGATTCTAGTAAGAACTCTAGCTGCTGCATTTTGGACCAGCTGAAGTTTGTTTATTTAGCGTGCAGAACAACCACCCAATAAAGCATTACAATAATCTAAACTTGAGGTCATGAACGCATGAATTAACGTTTCTGCATTTGCAATTGAGAGCATAGGTTGGAATTTATATATATTTTTGAGATGGAAAAATACAGTTTTACAAATGCTAGAAATGTGGCTTTCAAAGGAAAAATTGCTATTAAATAGCACACTTGGGTTCCTAACTGATGTCGAAGAATTGACAGAGCAGCCATCAAGTGTTAGACAGTGTTCTAGGTTTTTACATGCGGAGGTTTTAGGTCCGATAATTAACACCTCTGTTTTTTCAGAATTTAGCAGTAAGAAATTACTCGTCATCTAGTTTTTTATATCGACTATGCATTCCGTTAGTTTTTCAAATTGGTATGTTTCGCAGGGCTGCAAAGAAATATAGAGCTGAGTATCATCAGCATAACAGTGAAAGCTAACTCCGTGTTTCCTGATGAAAAAGTAACGGCCCTAGTACTGAGCCTTGAGGTACTCCATACTGCCCTTGTGATCGATATGATACCTCTTCATTCACTGCTACGACTCGATGGCGGTCAGATAAGTACGATTTGAACCATGCTAATGTACTTCCACTAATGCCAACAAAGTTTTAATTACTTGTCATCCAGTTTTTTATATCTACTGTGCATTCCGTTAGTTTTTCAAATTGGTATGTTTCGCAGGGCTGCAAAGAAATATAGAGCTGAGTATCATCAGCATAACAGTGAAAGCTAACTCCGTGTTTCCTGATGAAAAAGTAACGGCCCTAGTACTGAGCCTTGAGGTACTCCATACTGCCCTTGTGATCGATATGATACCTCTTCATTCACTGCTACGACTCGATGGCGGTCAGATAAGTACGATTTGAACCATGCTAATGTACTTCCACTAATGCCAACAAAGTTTTCTAGTCTGTTCAAAATAATGTTATGGTCAATAGTGTCGAACGCAGTGCTAAGATCCAGTAACCAATACTAGGGCTGCCCTTGACTAAAGATTTTGCTGGTCAACTAGTAGTCGTTCATTTTAAGCAATATTGGACTAATCACACATTTATTAATCAACCATTTATATAATAATTTAATTATATAATAATAATTATAAAAAAATGTGATAAAAAAATAACATAATAATTAGCCTTTAATTGTCTACAAAGCCTAATAAGCACTCAAGCACGTGCATAAAGCTTGCCACAGCACTGCAGAAGAAATTATTATGAATATGTCAGGGAAAAACAGTAAGGAGGCTGCATTAACATTTTAATAATTTATTGATACACTAGTGCTTTCTTTGTTTTCGTCTTAAGAGATGTCGGGCGACACTGACTCGTCATCTCCACAGTAATGATGCGCCTGTATGCATGTTTCATCGGATTACATAATCTGAGAATATTTGTTTTCCATTTGAATTGGTTCATTTGAAAGTAGACATTTCACTCTCTATAGATATGTTTTCAAATCTGTAAGGCAAGAATACACAGAGCTTCGGAGTGTCACGCTCAAGTTCACAGAGACCGAAACGGCAGAAAGCGCATCTTGTTTGTTTTCATTATTTTACAAAGCACAATGTTTTGTTTTTATTGTGAGTGCACACAAATAAATGTAGAGTCTTTACAGATTCAAAACATGTATTACTCCTATCTGTATGACCAAAAATTAGGGAGTATTTTAAGAGACAGTAACCGCTCCGGCGCCTCCATCTGTCCTGCAGTGAGCGCTACTGTTCAGCTTCCACACTCCACACAGACACTTCAATAGCACACATTTTTCTAGTTTAACATTAGATTGAGCAGCCATGTAAAGTTGCTAATACTTACATATTTCAGATGATAAGCCATTTGAGGTGGATGAATGATCCACGACTCCACGAGTGTGCGTTGCGTTTTGATGTCCTGCCCAATGTACTACTGTATTACCATAAATACCAACCGTTAACGATCTGTCCGCCACAGACTGCGTGACTTCGCCTGTGGATTTTTTTTTTCTGTGACTAAGCGACTAATAAAATTTTGGTCTACCAAGCCTCTTCTGGTCGACTAACAGTTAGTCAACTATTAGGGGGCAGCCCTAACCAATACACACACATGTATAAATAAAGACATACACTGATAGTTTCACTTGCGTACACACGGTTACAAGGAAACTGCTTTCCAAGTGCGACTAAGGCCTCGTCTACACTGGCATTTTCACTACGTTTCAGAAATGACCTCCGTCGCGTTTTAAAATGAAAACACACTAGTGTAAATGTAGCCTAAAACATCATTCTGATGATGTAATTTCTGTTATATCTGAATTTTTTTTAAAGCATTCCGTAAAGTCTCAGTTATATTCAAACCTTGGTTTGGGGGAGTTACGATAAACCTTTTTTTTTTTAAATGCTTTTCTAGCTTAGATCTTTTGTATTGTTTCCAGCCAAAATATCTAAAAATTCTTAAATCATAAAGGATTTTCTAGACAAGTAAAAAAAATTGTCTTGTTTTTAGAAAAAAAACAAGTACAATTTAAGTGAGTTTTTGCTTGAAACAAGCAAAATAATCTGCCAATGGGGTAAGCAAAATAATCTGATTTCAAACAGAAAACGATTATTTTGCTTACCCCATTGGCAGATTATTTAGCTTGTTTCAAGCAAAAACTCGCTTAATTTTGACTTGTTTTTCCTGAAAACAAGACAATAATTTTTACTTGTAGATATTTTAACTTAGATATTTTGATATCTAGATAAGATATTTTGGCTGGAAACAAGACAAAAAATCTAAGCTAGAAAAGCATTTTTTTGCAGTGTATGTACAAAAAATGGTGTAGAAGAAATTGATAGTAAATTTCACAAATAATTACAGGGAAACAGCAAATAACTATTTGCAAACCTGACTTGTGGTCAAGTACAATTTAAGTGAGTTTTTGCTTGAAACAAGCAAAATAATCTGATTTCAAACAGAAAACGATTATTTTGCTTACCCCATTGGCAGATTATTTAGCTTGTTTCAAGCAAAAACTCGCTTAATTTTGACTTGTTTTTCCTGAAAACAAGACAATAATTTTTACTTGTAGATATTTTAACTTAGATATTTTGATATCTAGATAAGATATTTTGGCTGGAAACAAGACAAAAAATCTAAGCTAGAAAAGCATTTTTTTGCAGTGTATGTACAAAAAATGGTGTAGAAGAAATTGATAGTAAATTTCACAAATAATTACAGGGAAACAGCAAATAACTATTTGCAAACCTGACTTGTGGTGTTTACCAGTGTTATTTTAGTTGAATTAATATACTATTATAGTAGTTTTTAATGTTTTTAAGTTGTTTTTATTTTTTATTTTATGTTTTATTTTTAATTTCGATAATATTTTAGTTTTCGTTTTTTTGTTTGTTTTTCGAATGTCAGTAAAGACATTCTTTTTTGACATTTCTTTTCAGTTTTATTTGTAGTAATTTTAGTACTTTAAATTAAAATAATACAAAAATTAAATTTTAATTGTTTAAGCTTGTTATATTTTATTAGGGTGTTTTTTGCACTTAATTTAAAAATAAATGAATATTAGACATTTCCCTTGGCAACTAAATTAAATACATTTGTTATATTTTATTACATTTTTTAAGTATGTCTATATGTTTTTTTTTATCATTTTTTTTTGGTTTGTTTTAGTTTTAGTCATTTTAGTACTTCAACTTAAACTAAACGAAAATAAGTTTAAGTTTGTTAGTTTATTAGTTCATTTTTTGTCTATTTTTATTGGAGAAAACTCTTGATTTTACTGCATTAAATTGCAACATCTCTGCCCATTGTCTTGTTGAATGGCATGTATCATCTCTCATGTTAGCATGTTAAATTCAACCAAAACTGTAATTTTGTTTCCATATTCTACTTTTCCACATTCTAGTTTTCTGCATAATTCAAATATAAAAATATCTGAAAATAATCAAGGCTTCACAGAATCCTCTAAAAGCAGCCCATTTCACCTTCATGTGAGTGAAACACTGAATACAAGACAGAAATGAGGACGTTTCTACAATCCAGACGTGATTTTCTTGACGATGAACAGGAGAGTCATTGCACTTGGATGAAAGACTGTGAAGATAAAGATTAGTTTCTTTAGTATAACGTGTGCTAATGAATGGCTGTTCAATCAGACGTCCATGTAAATCAGGCTGATTTGATGTTGATGTGACGTTCTTCACATGATTGATCTGTACTGGCTGCTTGATTTCTCTGCGTCTGATGAATGAACGCTGTTCTGTAACTCATTTTGGTGGTTTATCTCTGCTAAGCATTCACAGATGATTTGCTGATTCGGCTGATTTTGCTGCCGTGTCTTTCATTTCTCAGCCCTTTCTTCCCGTCCCGTGTGTAAACGCAGTCCATGACTTCAGAGCGGCCGCTGACGGCTCATTAGAGCCTCATTCAGCCACAGCTTCAGTGTGTGAGAGACTGTGGTTATATAACCAACAGCCAAATGAGTGACGCTTTTATAACGAGCCCATTTAAAAGCAGTCTAACGAGGGAATACCGTGGTACCAGAGCCATGTTCACTATGCTCAAGAGTTTATTCTGACTGATTTGCACATGTTAGATTAATAGTGAAGTGTTGAAGACACATCTAGTGACTTCTTGGTTACTTATTTAGTTTCTGAGACTCGCCGTTTTGCATTTGCTCTGTTCAGCGAGCGGCTGAGAGGAGCAGTGCTTTCAGTTAAAACAGATATTATGTTGCTTCTCTAATTTTACATTTAAGTATAGCCAAAATCACACCACAGCTGTTATCTTTATCTTATGTGTATTTGATTTCATCAGACGACGGCTTGATTATAAATCAGGGTTTTTGTGCAGATTAACATCTTGGAAGGGAGAGCTGGTTATGTAGTCTTAATGGGTTGCATTTCAGTCACTATTGTTGTATAACAACAGAAACAGTCAAATATATGTGAATTTGGCTGCATTTGGCTGCATCACAATACAGTATGTGGGCACAGAGAGGCGAACAAATGTGATAATAGATAATAAATGTACAGCATGTTCAGAAGAAGTAAGGCTTGTGTAAGTATTGCTCAGTGCAAAGAAAGAGAAGTAATGGGAACCTGGTTTTTCTATGTTCTTTTTTTCATGTGTCTACAAGAGTTATCTGTTTTTGCAAATAAACTCTTATTGAACACTAATAGCCCCAGTGTTTACATGGCGCTCAGTGAACTTCAAAGAGTCCAGTGTTGTTTTCGTGTCTCTCTCAGTGTTTCTTCCTGTAAACATCACTGGATGAAATGTGTGTGTTGTGTTTAACTGGCTCTGTCTCCGTGTTTGACGTTACACTCCTAAACTCTTACAGACGAATCCCAGGCTCAGCGCTGTCCTTCATCAGCTCATGCTCTTTCCGCCTCTTTTATGTGTTTATTCTCCACAGTGAAAGCCTTGTCTTGGTTTAGGCACATTAAAGCGTGTGAGGAAGTTTAATGTTGCGTCTGAGTGACATGCAAAGCCATCCATCAGTTCAGCTCATTTAACAGCAGATGTCATTATTATACAATTATAGCTTGGAGCTGGCGTTCTCTTTTTTTTGTGCAGTATGCACTGATGCTTGTGCTTTTTGCGAGATGTTGTTATAGGAATTGTATTGAGCAGTGTTTTGGATTCTGTGCTGAGCTCTGATTGGCTGCTGCTTTGATTGGCGTGTGTGTGTGCAGGGTCAGCGCGGTGACGTTGGTCTGGAGGGGAGGGCGGGGCTTCCTGGCCCACGGGGCGAGCTCGGACTTCCTGGTGTCATCGGAGAGGAAGGGCCAGCGGGATCAAAGGTCAAAAACCCTGAATTGTCCCTTTATTTTTTTTTTTTAACTTTGATAATGTATATATGACGAAATGTGCAGCACACACAGTATATACTACAGTGTGCACCCTTGACTTTTGACCTGTGCAGGGTGAGATGGGTTTGGCAGGCGACACAGGACCGGCGGGTGCTAAAGGCATGGAGGGGGCGACGGGAGACCAGGGCATGAAAGGAGAGCAAGGTGCCAAAGGAGAACCAGTGAGTGTCGTCATTTCTCATGTGTGTATTTTCTCCACCTGCCATCAGCCGTCATTATCAGAGTCACATCGTCTTAGGCCACACTTACTGAACAGTACCATGCTTTTCTGGAGATGTAAGGATACTATAGTGTATATACCATGAAAATACTAGGTTGCATGCTAGAGTTTGTCAGGTTATCCTTAACTAAAACTAAAACTATAAAAACAATTGTGTTACTTGAAATGAACTAAACATTAACTAAATTGAAAAAAATAACACTTTATTGTGATTTTTTGTTAATAGTTTATTTTGGTTCGTTTACGAAATTACTCATTTTTGTTTAGTTTAAGTGCTGAAAACACTAAAACTGAAATACAAATGCATAAAAATCTACATAGACATTAAAATAAATAAATAAATGAATAAATAAATATATAAAAATGACAACAATACACACCAAAATTACTCAAATACATTAAAAAGTGCATAAAAATATTATAGTAATTTTGTTCAGAATTTTTTTTAAAGTACATATTTTTCTGGTCATGCTAGAAAAAGCTCTTTGTGTATATATAAGTATGTATTTCAAAAATAGTCAAATAATTCACTTCCAAAATGCTAAGAAAAAAATGCTTAATCAGACAGTTCAGACTTTTACTTTATTTTGAAATTAATTTTAAAAATATGTACAGTATATATATATATATATATATATATATATAGTTTAACTGGTACTAAAATAACATGTAAAAATAAAGGAATAATAATAAAAAAATTATATACATAGAAAAATACTAAACAAAACAAAACTATAACTAAAATTAAAGCGTAAATAGAAACATTCTAAATATTAGCAAAAACTATAATAGTATCTCAGTGATCCTAAAATAACTCTGAATCTGATATCATGTGATTTATTTATTTATTTTTCTTCCATAAAAAAATTGTCCGTCTGATTGCATTCTTGTGACAGATAATCATAAATCCAGGTTTTTTTTCCTGCACTTGGTCTAAATGTCCGCGGGTCTTTTATGTAAGAGTTTGAGTGATTGTAAGCAGATCGTTGAGTAAACATGAGACAAACGAGCTGCTCCGCTTTCTTACATAACTCAGGAAAAGACAATAAAGGCAGGAATCCCAAGCGTCCGGAGTGGGAATATCATCTTACAGGCCGTGGGTGAATGAATGAACATGTGCAACTGTGGATGTTGACTTAAAATAATGTCCTGTTGAAGATGAAAGTGATCCATCATGTCAGAAACAGACAGACCAGTGGCAGGATCTGACAGAATGAAGAGGGAGAGTGTAGTCTGGATGGTGACCCGGTTCTCTGGTTTTTCCCGCAGGGTGAGGTGGGAGACACAGGCATGCTGGGACTCCAGGGCTTTCCGGGACCCAAGGTCAGTGTTCAGCATGAAACCGCATTAAACCAGAGCGGTGGAGATGTGTTCAGACGGCTCACGAGAGATCACAAGAGTCACTCAAACACACAACAGTTCAAACCCCGCACGCAACACATCACATTGTTCATTAATCAAGAACATTAGAATTTTATTTTATTTAGAATATATTTTAATTACTTAATGTATTTATCTATCTATTATTTAAAATTTATTTATTATTTATTTTAATTTAATTTATATTAAATTATTTAATTAAATTTTTTTCGTTTCATACCTTATTTAATCTATCTATATACACTTATCTATCTATCTATCTATCTATCTATATAAACACATAAATATTAATATTTATTCATTAATATTAGCTTAAAATATAATTGAAATTTAATTTCAATTATATAATAGAATTTAAATTAGATTTTAACTACTTAATTGCATGTATTTATTATAATATATTTATTTTTAAATTAATTTAATGTTTGTCTTTTTTGTCTGTCTACACACATAAATATTGAACATATTAGCTTAAAATTTTACTTATTTATCTATCTGTCTGTCCGTCCATCCGTCTGTCTGTCTGTCTGTCTGTCTGTCTATCTATCTATCTATCTGTGTTTTGATTGGACGAACATTTCTTGGTCCTACACCTTCCACAGAATATATAAATACAGACAAATATATTTAGACCACTTAACTTAATGATTGCTATCAGGATGTGAAGAGACTTTCAACCAGCATAACAAAAAATGTTTCTGAAGACAATCATCTATTGCACCTTTAATCTACACAAAAATATAAATGAATCATAATCACTTAATTTTTGTTTTTATCATAGCAAAATGGAAATCATTAATGTAGTATATGAATTGTCGTTGGACACAATCCACAAACTCGAGACACACTTCATACGGTCAAAATAACCAATCGGCCTTTCAGTCAACCGCTGAAAATGGTTATTAAATGCATCTTTTTCTGTGTTTCAGGGTCCAAATCTCCATCTGGGGTTCGCTGGTATTCCTGGACTCAAAGGGCCGGTGGGAGTTCTGGTCAGTCTCTTCATCTTCTCAGTAAATCAATGTGAATGTAGATGTTGTCATCTAATGCGTCTCAATGGTGTGCTGGTGTGTGTGTTTCAGGGCTTCTCTGGTCCTGTGGGTCCGCTGGGAATGATCGGTCCGGTGGGGAAGCCTGTAAGTGTTCTGATGCTTTATTTGTGTTTATGACATGCGTGTTATTCACAACCATGCCTGATGAATGTCAGATAAAGCATGTGTTCGATGCTTTCTCAGGGTAACAGAGGACCCAAAGGAAGCCGTGGAGAGATGGTAAGATGTGCTCTTCATATATCAGCACTGTTTAGCCTGCTGCCAGATCACAAACTCTTCATCATCATCATCATCAGGAGCCTTCCGCTCTCATAATGAAGTATCCGCTTGTTCGTGTGTAACGGTTGTGTAACAGCGTCTGTATAAACTGCTCACACAGAACGGCGAGGATAAACAAGCTCACTTCATCTCAAACACAGTGAGAGATTGACCTGTGGGGGCGCCAGCGCTCCATCACACAACACATCAGCTGCACTTTATCATTGATATACTCTTATAGTTTTATGTTATGTTTTTTGAAGCACAGAATTCATAAGCATATCAGGATATCCAATCCAGAAAGGCAATCATCTCATTATACTTTTAATCTGGATACAGCAGGACGACTGAAGCTCTAGTTCAACTGTTTGGATAAATGTTTTAGAGAAACGAGTGAATGTAAAGTTTTGGTGATCTCTTTCTACAGGGGCCTCAGGGGCCGCAGGGCAGTCCAGGGCCACAGGTACATACACACTGTTATAAAAAAGATAGTTCCGGTCCTTGATTCTGATTGGTTGAGCCGCGTTGTAGCTGTTGTAAATTACTCCGCAAACATACACCTTTGTTAACTTCTGTGTGTTGCTCTGCAACCACTTTGTTGGAACCACAACTGTTTCTGAGGAACTACATTGTTTGGTGGAAGAATACTGTTTTTATTAATATCATTACACTTTATTTGCTCGGTTTTATTCTGTGAAACCTTACTACGTATATGGAATAACCGTTTTATAAACGCAATAAGCCCCGTGAAGCCGTACTTTACAGTGAATTTATAACAGCTAAGGGGGTTTTAGGCACTCCGCTTCGCCCCTTAGCTGTTATAAATTCACTGTAAACCACGGCTTCTTGGTGCTTATTGCTTTATTATCACACTACAGAAAAATTATAAAGATAATCATGCTTAATGTTGATTCTGTATTAATCAGAATAGTTATTTTTTAACATTGATTCATGCGCTTGTTAAGGCCTAACCATTGCATTATAATTTGGCTACAGACATGCATTAGGGTTAGTTTATTATTATGATAAAATATGAATGTTTATAATTGTTTATTTTCTGTGTTGTTCGACAGGGGCCTCCAGGTTTACCCGGCCCGTCGGTAAGATTCAAACCCGTCATCTGCACTCGTTAAACAATTACACGTGTCATTATTTCACATAGGGCTGTGCAATTAATCGCATGTGATAGTCATGTGCATCTCGTCAGTAAAGCCGGTTCTGTGATTAGTAGTAAATCTCCATCACCTGCTTTCAGATGGAGCGGCATTTACTACACAGAGCCGTAGTTCACTGACAAGCTAGGCAATATCGCGTTCATAATCGCCGATTAATTGCATTCGATTATGAACGCGATATTGCCTAATTGTCAGTGAACTACGGCTCTGTGTAGTAAATGCCGCTCCATCTGAAAGCAGGTGATGGAGATTTACTACTAATCACAGAACCGGTTTTACTGACGAGATGCGCATGACTATCGCATGCGATTAATTGCACAGCCCTAATTTCACATTTACATTCATTCATTTGCAAGACACTTTTATTTAATGCAAGTCTTCTTTTCCTGTGCAAATAAAAAATATCTGCCAACGGAGCATGAAAAACAACAGCCACTGGCAGACATTTTTTCTTGATTTAAACATAAAGTCACTAAATTATGATGCTTTTTTTTCCAAAAACAAGACTGGCTATCTTTTGTACGTTTGCATTTCAAGTAAATATATGACGCTTTAAAGCAATAGTTCACCCAAAAATGAAAATTTTACAATAATTTACTCACACTCAGGCCATCCAAGATGTGGATGAGTTTGTTTCTTTATCAGATTTGGAGAAGTGTAGCATTGCATCAGTGTCTCACCAATGGATGTGAATGGGTGCCGTCAGAATGAAAGTCCAAACAGCTGATAAAAACATCCCAATAATCCACACAGCACTCCAGTCCATCAGTTAACATCTGGAGAAGACCAAAGCTGAAACAAATCCAGCATTAAGACATTTTTAACTAAAATATGAATCCATAATCCATAATAACGCTTCCTCCAGTGAAAAAGTGATCTAGTCTGAATCAGGAGAGAAATCTGCACAGATCAAGCTCCGTTTACAAGCAAAAACAGCTCTAAACAAATATGTGGCTGGATTTTGATGTGAGAGACAACAGGAGATGCACTTTTTCACCGGCGGAAGCGTTATTATGAATTATAGATATATATATATGAATTATAGATGCGCTGGAAGGTTCTTTGAGGATGTTTCTTCATCCTCATTTTTTCTCGTCTCACAGATACGCATTAATACGGACGTTCAAGCGCGGATCACCCATTCACATCCATTGGTGAGACAGTGATGGAATCATCTTAAATAAACCTGAATTTTGTAATCTTCAAGGACGCACACTACTGGAATAGAAAAGATGCGCTGGAACGTTCTTTGAGGATGTTTCTTCATCCTCATTTTTTCTCGTCTCACAGATACGCATTAATACGGACGTTCAAGCGCGGATGGAGTCCAATGCACATCTAGAGCTGGAGGTGAAGACTTTGAGATTGCTTTCTGAAAGTTGATGATGTGCACTCATGAAGAGCAACCAAAAATCTGTAACACATTTTATTCTTGCCGTCTTTGTTCTTGTTGGGTTCTCAGAGTTACCAGAACACAGACGCGTCTCTGTCGGAGCAGAGCGCTGAGATCTTCAGGACGCTGCAGTATCTGAGCAGCGTCATCGACAGCATGAAAACACCGCTGGGAACGAGAGAAAACCCGGCCCGCTTCTGCAGAGACCTGCTGGACTGCCAACACACGATGAGCGACGGTGAGATCTACACCTGTTTAAACTAGGGCTGGGACAATAAATCGATGCATCGCGATTCGTGGATCGATTCTGAGATTTTCGGAATCCATCGTGATTCTCTCTGGAATCGATTCTTCGCTTAGTTTTTAACAGCAGATGGCGATCTAGGCTAGTTTTTAACCGCACACACAAATGCTCACAAAGAAGAGCGCTTGTGCGTTCGGTCATGCAAGTTGTTATATGTACTTGCACATCGGCTTTAATGCTTTTATGATGCGAGATTAATGCAAACACAGCCCACTGAGAACATCCTTGTAATTCGCTTCAACCTTTTCGAACTTTATGAATGATTATTTTAGGTTCAAATGGTGCGTGTTGAAGCAAGCAGAATACGGCTGTTTCTAAAGCACGCTGTTAAAAACTAAGCTCAGAATCCATTCAAGAGAGAATCCCGTTGGAAAATCTCAGAAAATAAAGTAATTATTTTTGTTTTCTTTGCGCACAAAAAGTATTCTCGTATTTTAGTTAATATTTTAGTAATTTTTTTGGTCTTTTTTTTTTTTATTTTTTATTTATCTACATAGTTTTTTATAAATTTTTATTTCAGTTTTAATTATTTTAGTACGTCAAATGAAATGAAAATGAGAAATGTTGCATTGGAAGCTAGCTGAAATAAATTATTATTATTATTTTATTTAAGTTAAAGTACATTTTTTTTTTAAGTAACAATTTTTTTTATGGTCTTAGTTTTAGTTAATGATAATAATAATAATAATAATAATAATTTAAAAATAACTTTTTAAAATCTGGGAATATTGATATATTCAATTAATTAACCAAGATTAATTTCATGATTCCAAAAGTTTCAAGAAATATATGTCCTTCCATAAAAATAGTTATTAAGTGGGAGGTGTTTTCTTTTAGCCTTTTAATTTTGATTAAACTTAGATTATACACTACCGTTCAAATGTTTTGAATAAATAAGATCTTTGAATATTTTATAAATATGTCTCTTCTGCTCACCAAGCCTGCATTTATTTGATCAAAAATACAGTAAAAATTGTAAATTTGTGAAATATTATTACTATTTTAAATAACTGTTTTCTATGTGAATATCTGTTAAACTCTCATTTATTTCTGAGATGCGCAGCTGTATTTTCAGCATCATTCCTCCAGTCTTCAGTGTCACATGATCTTCAGAAATCAGTATAATATGCTGATCTGCTGCTCGAGAAACATTTCTGATTATTATCAATGTTGAAAACAGCTGTGCTGCTGAATATTTTTGTGAAAACCGTAATATGAAATATTCCAGACTTTTGACTGGTAGTGTAATTAATACTAATGTATTATTTTAAATACTTTTTAATCATCTTGAGGTGCATTAAGTCATTCACCCATCTATCCACTGATAGTTTCTACAGCTCAGTGACTGAGTGGTTTGTCGTATCTGTGTTGATCAGGATTGTTCTGGATCGATCCAAATCTGGGCTGCACGTCTGACGCCATCCAGGCACTGAGGAACCGAAGCCCGATGAGCCGCTGATATGCGCATGTGTGAACCAAACACTTGAATGTAATTATATAATATAATTGCATATACGTTACGTCATTTTATGATTACGTAAACAAACTAGTGAATTGAACCAGTTCATTAAAGGGATAGTTCACCCAAAAATGAAAATTCTGTCATTAATTACTCACCCTCATATCGTTCCAAACCCGTAAGTCCTTCGTTCATCTTCAGAGCACAAATTAAGATATTTTTGATGAAATCCAAGAGCTTTCTGACAGCAAGGGTCTTTATTGTATATAAAATTTACATCCATTTGAATTGCACAGCTTTACCATAAACAACTTAATAAAGCCAATATGATTCATGTTTAACGGTCCATAAATAAATTAAACGGGTCAGATTTCTGTAATAGTAATAATCAACTGAATGTGTTTTAAACACAATAACCAGCTTTATATATTTATCATCAATTAAGTACATTTGTTTCAATCTCATACATTGTAGAGCTCTCATTAAATATTGGTTGTTCCAGAGCTAGTCATATGTTGCCATGTTCATACTTTTTAATGGAATAAATGCAATTGTTTTCACGATAGATTTATGCTGAGTCTAATAAACGCATTTTGAAAATCTGATTATTTCAATCAAATCAGATAGATGCATATGGTTAATAATAAACTATACCATGATTTTTTTGAGTGCAGAAATCTGACCCATTTCATTTATGCATGACTGACAAATATGAATCTCAAGTTTTTTTAAAACTGTGTAATAAAAATGTATGCTGTTAATATTACATGCAGTTCATATACATACATTTTAAATTTAGGCCTAATATTTTTGGGGGTATAATACAAAAAGATAGATTTATCTGTATTTTTTTCTATTAACAATGCAATTTTGACCCAGTGCGACCTATTTTCCAGAAAATGTATCTAGATGTTTGCCTGTTTTTCTGAACAGATCCGTGATGGCAGCTGGCACCAGTCGCGATTCCTGTTTCAAACCCAGGACACTCAGCAGCTTCCCATCGTGGACATTCAAGGCCTCCATCCCTCACGTCCAGGAGACCAGCGGCATGTGGAAGTGGGTCCTGTTTGCTTCCTGTGAAATCACTGAAGGACTTGAAACGGTCCTGATCCTCAAATCAGAGCAGCGGCGATCCGAGTGATGGCAGTGATCCTGGGACGTCCCGAAGAACAAGCCCGCCTCCAACCCGAGTGTTTTGAGAGACTGCTGTTGTGTTTTATCTGTTGTGGTTCAGTATGTCAAAAAGTCTCGGGTGAAGTCCTTGCGCATCGTGCGTTTGATCTCGAATCATTGCTAGATAAACTGTCAGACAAGGTTGATCTTGTTAGCAAACTATGAAAAAGCCGACCTGGACTCTTTAGACGGTGCTCTACCTCCTTCACGTACAGGTGCTCGCGTTCAGGTGCATCCGGCCCAAAACAAACTCTATGCAGGTACACAAATGCAAACTCCGTTTGGTGCATCATTGTGTTTTGCAATTTGTCTTCTACAGTCAGTTTTTCTTTTAAATCATGGTGCAGTTTAAAGGCAGTCTTGCTAAGCAAGTTAGATAAAGTTAGAATAGTTAATCCGTAGACGATTTTTATAAGAACATTAGCTGTTTCCCTTCACGTGTTTTTAAAGGAATTTTGGAATATTGCATAAAAACGCCAACCAATAAGTGCATATAATCTTAAAAAGTGTCAAGATGTGCATATAATCTTTAACATTTTGATGTAAATGCCAGTAAGTGCATGGAAATTGTAAAAATGGTGTTATCATATGAAACACGCTGAATAGAAACACCAAGAAGTGCATAACATTTTTAAAATTGGGGTATCACATAAAAAAGCGCATTAAATAAAAAAAAGGGGGGGGGGGGGTGTTACATTAAAAAATCCAGATGAAAACACCAAGAAGTGCATACAAATCTGAAAATTTTGGGGAATTACAAAAAATCTTGATGGGAACGCCAAGAAGTCTTTTTTGTTTCAGGTTTTGCATAAAAGCACTGGATGGAAATTGCAAAAATGCATAAAATCTTAAAAGAAATTGGGGTTTCACATTAAAATGCTGGATGGAAATGCCAAGAAGCACATAAAATCTTTAAAAATTGGGTATTACATAAAAAATGAAAAAAATTGGGGTATCACATTAAAAACAAAACAAATTGGGTATCGTATAAAAATGCTGGATGGAAACTCCAAGAAGTGCATTTAAATCTTATAAATCATAAAAAAAATTTGAGGTGGCTACTTTATTGTTCGGTAAGAAAACATGCACATAAACTACGATGGAAACACATTTACAGCAACTTTTTATGATTTTATTACTGATACTTTGCACCAGTTTCTCAGGAAGTGAAGATTTTGTTTGCATAAACATATGGTATAGAAACTGCATTTAATTCACAAATGTTTCATGCAATATTTGAATTGTTTTGCAAGTTTTAGATGGAAACAGCTACAGACCGAAACGTTTGTAGGAAACACTTTGAGCACCTCAGAAACAGAAGGATGCATAATTGTATGCGCATCAGTCAGTCGTGTGCATTGGTGTATTTGCGTGCAGTATGTTTCTGGCCGTAAGTTGTTTGTTTGTGCTGGCTTTTTCTTTTGTACTTTTGCGTTTGGTCATTTCGATCACAACAAACCTAATTTATATGAACAGTGTGTTGATAAGTTATGTTACACATCGGCTTAATATACTTTATACGTTAAGGAGAAAGTTCGCTCGTGACCCTTAAAGAGACGCCACGAGTATCTCACATACATGAAATCGAAGAACAAGGATTTTTTTGTGACATTGTTATTTGAAACCATTTTAAATGTTCACATGCTTTACAAGAAATCGTATGAGATATCCGTGACATCTTTTTTCTCCGAATTGTGAGATAAAAAGTCACAATTACTGCAATTCGGTGGTGGAAACGTGCTTCCATAAGGTCAGGGTCAGTCGACTTCTCCGTGGTGCTGCCGTATTCAGCGTTAGCAACGAGTTAGTCATTTTGTATTTTCCCCTTATGTATATTTGGACATTATATGTTTGTTTATTTATGTTATCTTTTTATTTCTCCAAAAATACTGTACTCCAATAAATTATATCACTCAGAGATCTCTCTGGTCGCTCACCATTTAGTTTCGAAATCTTATTTATGTCAAATTTGTATTTGTATATAAACACAAATATGGGAGTATATGTTGTTCTGGCAGCTGCGATTGGCCAGATTCAGATCACATGATCACACACAGGAAGTGTAACACCTGTTAACTTATGATTACAGTATCAAAACTGTTACTAAATATGCCTACAGAAACAAAACAAAGACGAAAAATGTAAATATTTAATATTTTGACATTAAATAAAATGTATGGTTTAATCCCAATGTTCTCATGAGTTATTTAATTCTATGAATAAAAATGGCCTTTTTGTCATGGTGTCTGTCTACATATAACCAAACACTGAATATACTTAGTTCCTATTTTCCTTTAAAATAATTAAATATTCACCATATTATATATATAAAAAAAACATTTGAACCTCTAACACTATTCGTTTTCTGTTTATTTTCTTTAAACAAGTATTCTAACACTAGTTCCCTATTATTTTTCTATTCTATCTACTTGTTTTCTTTTTATTATATATATATATATATTAGTGCTGTCAAATGATTAATCGCGATTAATCGCATCCAAAATAAAAGTTTTTGTTTACATAATATAGGTGTGTTTACTGTGTATATTTATTTACATGTGTATATATTCATATAATTTATATTATATATTTAATATATAAACATAACATATTTTTCTGAAATATATAATATGCATGTGCGTGTATTTATATATACATAATAAATATACACAGTACAAACAAATATGTAAACAAAAACGTATATTTTGGATGCGAATTCGCAAATAATCATTTGACGGCACTAATATATATATATATATATGAAAAAAACACCTTGCTATGTGTACTGCCTTGGGCTAACAGACTTGTAACAGCACTTGCATATTATTGCTCTTTTGTTGGTTTTGATTGCTTTTATTGTCCTCATTTGTAGGTCGCTTTGGATAAAAGCATCTGCTAAATGACTAAATGTAAATGTAATATATATATAAGGGCAGGCTTTAAGATGGTTTAGATCCTACCTGTCCAACCGTTATCAATTTTTTTTATTTAAACGTGGAATCATCTCAGTTAATGCCAGTAAAGTATGGAGTGCCACAAGGCTCTGTTCTGAAATATATAATATGCATGTGCGTGTATTTATAAATACATAATAAATATACACAGTACAAACAAATATGTAAGCAAAAACGTATATTTTGGATGCGAATATGCAAATAATCATTTGACGGCACTAATATATATATATATATATGAAAAAAACACCTTGCTATGTGTACTGCCTTGGGCTAACAGACTTGTAACAGCACTTGCATATTATTGCTCTTTTGTTGGTTTTGATTGCTTTTATTGTCCTCATTTGTAGGTCGCTTTGGATAAAAGCATCTGCTAAATGACTAAATGTAAATGTAATATATATATAAGGGCAGGCTTTAAGATGGTTTAGATCCTACCTGTCCAACCGTTATCAATTTTTTTTATTTAAACGTGGAATCATCTCAGTTAATGCCAGTAAAGTATGGAGTGCCACAAGGCTCTGTCTTGGGCCCTCTGCTATTTTCAATATACACGGTTTGTCTGTTCCTCAGCTTTTCGCGTCTTCAGCCATGTTTACGCGACACTGTCAGTACTGGCCTAGCTCGCTATGATATTAACTGAAATAAGCTAAAAAAGTATGATGTTTACAAATACAATATCCTTATTTCCATTCCAAAGATAACTGCTTTCCACGTCGAAACATCCAACACAAATCTAGAACATATTCAGGAGAGGAAATCGGTTTAACGTTACGGCTAACTAGTGAAAACACTCCATTAATATGAAATGCAGCTCAAAATACATGCTAGATGGAAACATGGTGCATTATGATCGAGTTTGTAACTTAATTCACTATATTTTAAATAGTTTGAGGACTGCAGTTCATGAGTTCAATTAAAAATCAGAAAGCATCATCTCAAAGCATTCAAGTGAAAAATTTCTCAGTGTATTGTAATAAGTATTTGAGAAATTATTGTTGTATCTGATTGTTTTAGTCTAGAAGTGTAAAATATATTAGCATCAAAGCTGGGTGTCTTAATGTTAAAAATGAATTGGGCCAGTGATGATTCTGACAGAAAACTCGCTTGGGACCCAAACACAACCTACACAAGCATCTGACTGATAGATAAACCACACATTTCAGTGTTGTTTTTTATTTTGTGGATATTTCAGCTGACAGTTTTGTACGTTCAGTTTACCAACATAAGCACTCCGACTGTAGAAAACTGTCGTAAAGAGAGCGCAGAAGACGGCAGACGCGTGTGGAGCGCAGCACACGTGGTCGGTGTTTTGGTCAGAGAGTATTGAATGAAACCATGTAAAAACTCTCCTGTGTTGGTGTGGTGAATATGTTACCTGTTATGGACAGCAACGATAAAGCAGATGATGGTCGGAGAGGAGTTAAGCGCAAGATGGCTTTGTCCAGGTCAGTTACTGTAGTCTAAACATGTAAACAGGGTAAAGTCACAGTGATTGTGTAGGTCTGTTTCGCGTTTCTGCTAGTCTTGTCGTATACATTCGCTTGTGTAACGTTAAATTCAGCTAAAACATCTGTTTACAGTTAGAAATAATATCAGCAACGTAGGATTCAGTACTGTAGTATATTTAACTTACCATGGTATTTACCATTCCATCGCTGTAAAAACAAATTATTATTATTGCTATTATTTTTTATGTACAGTATTGTATTCTGTATGTATCAGCATTGTGTCAGTGCCATTTAACTTCATTTGTCATGACATTTAAAAACCTGTATTTATTGGTAAATTGCATATGACTTCTTCAGCTGTGACATCTGTGAGACTAAAGAGGCCAAATACAGATGTCCGAGCTGCATGAGACACACCTGCAGGTAACTCACACACACTCTCTCACACTTACTCACACACTCTCTCACACTCACTTACTCACACACACACTCTCTCACACTCACTTACTCACACACGTTCACACACTCTCTCACTCTCTCGCACTCACTCACACACACACACTCACACACTCACACACTCTCTCACTCTCTCACACTCACTCACTCACACACACACAACACACACACGCTCACACACTCACTCACTCACACACTCTCTCACACTCACTCACACACACACACACTCTCACACTCTCTCACACTCTCTCACGCACACACACGCTCACTCACGCACACACACTCACTCACACTCACTCACACTCACACACACACACGCTCACACACGCTCTCACACTCACTCACACTCTCTCACACACACACACACACACACTCACA